GGTGTATTTTATTACCTTAAAAGAGGAATTGATTTAATTCTGGGTTTTAAATCTTTATTGATTATATGAGTCAACTGAAATTTCATTGGTTAAAAACACTGCATGTGTGTAATATTAAAAAGAGAGATTCAAAATAAATACTAAAACTGAGTAAGTCAGGGTTAAGCATAGTTGATAAATATATTAGAATGACCCAAAGCCCCCCCCCCCCATCTCTATGGTTACTGAGGGGAGCTCTACAAAAAGATGCTCCAGAGCTGAAACAAACTGAACATGTGCCGTATTCTTTATTAGCAGCGTGCCTCTATAATCTGCATCAGGAGGATTCTTCTAACTATGACACAGCATGAATACAAACGAACGTCAGCTCAGCAAATGTCAGCAGATAAGTGTAAATAATTCATGGTAACTGAGTCTTGAACAGGCCTTCTTCTCTGATCAGCTCTTAAAGGAACAAACTAATAACCAGTTACAGGACTGGACCCGTTCAGAGAGACCTGCATTAATTGCCGTATTGATTCCCAGGAGAACAAAGAAAAGCTTGTTTCCACATCTATGATTAGTTTTACCTGTGGGTCGTGTGGTTGGAAACAGGATGCTCTTCACAGGTTGGATTTAGCTGGTTTTGCTCAGCTGAAAAACCCCTGAAGCCTGTTCCCATCCCGTCCCACACAGGAGGAAGCAGCAGGACGGGGAGGGAGACACAACCATGTAAGGAGGTACGTTTCTATTTGCACCCGTCAGAGACGGGTTTCTGTGGAGGAAAATGGCCAGAATCTGAAAAAGCCCTCAGCGGAAAACAGATCCCCTTTGGGACGAGGATCAGGATCAGGATCAGGACCAGGATCAGGATCAGGATCAGGATCAGGACCAGGATCAGGACCAGGACCAGGACCAGGACCAGGACCAGGACCAGGACCAGGATCAGGACCAGGATCAGGACCAGGCTCCGGACGTCTAGCTGAGGCTGCAGGTCTTTGACTGCGAGGCCGCCGCCGCTGAGGGGAAACACAGAAGAGAGGAGTCAGTTATTCTCAGCACTCTTCAGTTATTCTCAGCACTGTTCCTGTGCCGAGGCATCCCTCGGTAGGCTTTGGGGGGGGGGGGTGGGGGGGAGTGGGGGGGGGTTCTCCTCCCCACCTTGCCGGGCGGCGGCCGCCTGCTGGCCGGCCTCCTCCTGGGCCTTCTTGGCCTCCTCGATGGCGGCCAGCTTGGCCTCGTGCACTTCCTTCAGGGCGTTCCACTCCTTCCTGTTGTTCAGCAGCCGGTCCAGCATGGGCGTGATCTCCACGTGGAAACGGCTGAACTCCTTTGATC